TCGCGCTAGTGGTGGCAACCACCTTTTGGAACTCTGGACACTCTTCCTCGCGGATGGTCTACTCGAAGACGAAGAAGGACCGTCCACAAGAAGAACAAGCGAAGAAATTAGAATTATAAAGAAGAACTTGTTACAGTAAATGAATCATTTTTCAATATCTCAATCTACTACTAGTAATAGTAGTACTGTGACGTAACCATACTTCGTAACACAATGTTACTCAAAGTACCTCCTCATGGGAAAAGAATAAGAGTTTTTAAGGATTCGCGCGTGCCCTTTTTTGGGAAGCTCCATCTCAGCAACCAGTCGTTGTCTGACAGTGTTCGACATATCCAAAGATGCAGAAAAAAGAGTACTATGACTAGTTTGCAGTGTCATTGTCAAACAATGACTTGCCATCGAGAAGAAGCTTCCCAAAAAAGGGCAGCGTATGTATTTTTCGATAGTTAGAAATAATCAGTTTTAGATATGCCTGCCGTTATTTCGACTCCCCTCTCTGAAGGACGACTTGCGCRCGTGACTAACAAAAACTAKCTTGAAATTTTTGGATGACACGCGCTTTTTTCTGTTTGTACCGTTAGAATATATATGCCTTAACCGAAACTTTAAAGGTCGAATTAAAGCCAATTTTATCTTGTATACGTTAATGAACACCATGGCTATATTCRTCTTGTTATAAGCTTTCGATCCATATATACATTGATAGGGGTTACACACATTCCCACGGAGTCGAAACTGCTCCTCCTGATTCTTTTCCCATGAGGAGGTAGTATTAATTATTAACATTAATATTAATATTAGTAGTTGTATTCGTACCGTACGTACCTTGGGCTACAAGCACCGTAACGTAGGATAGAGGACAGAGTGTWAAGTTTTGGGGGATACAAACTTTTGTAACCCATTTTGGTTGGTCGAKTGCCGTAGAATACCAGCTGTCACAGTGACGTCATAGAACACTCACACGTCAATTGTTCTAATTGGTCGATGTCGCCTTTTGGTTACCAGCTATGGGTAGAGAAAATCTTTGTGCAACGGAAAACACGAGTAGTACGAGTACGAGTACTATATTCGTACCTTTGCTCGAAATGAGTGATGCAATGGTGGATGATACAGTATGTACCTTATCGTACCTTAAGTACTGTTTAACTAGCGAGGAGCAAGGGCAGGTTTGTTGAGAGTGATCTCATCATCACCATCATCCTAGAAATCTCGCGTGTCAAATACATCAATACCGTACAACTACGGCATTTCCCGCCGTCTTCCGTTCGGTATTGATACGAGTACGTGTACCCGTACTCGTACTCGTACCTGGTCTTCAAGAAGGTCCCCCGGTTCTACAGGTCGATTCGTACTCGTGCTCGTACTTCACGCAATATCCTCCCTCCTGCTCGTCGCTCGCTTCTTTTTCGTCTCGTCTCGCCCGGCCTCCCCTCGCTTCCACACCCACATTCCCCCTAGCTCTGCAAGCTCCCCCATCCATTACACCACGAAAGAGCCTCCCCGAACCATGAAATTCTCGCTTAGTGCAGTTGTTGCGCTCCTGGGCGCCTCGAGCGCGGGTGCCTTCACCGCTCCGAAATCGGCATCGGCGCGCTCCGCCACCCCCTCGGCCCTCGGCGTYACCACCCTCGACCAGTGGCAGCTCCTCGACAACGGCAGCCTGGTCGGAAGCGTGAGGGGCCAYCCCACCCTCGCCGACGGGGACGTCATCACGACCTCCCCCCTCTCCAGGCCCGACACGGCCCGCAGCGCGAACACCGTCTCTACCTTTACCGGTTCTCAGTACCAGCTGGGAGCGCCCATGCAGCTCGGTGGGTCGGCAGTGGCTCCTTCCGCAAACGAACCCGGCTTTGGCCGTTCCACCTTTGTCAAGGTGGCCGGAACCGCTTCTCTCTTTGCCGGAGGAGTGGCCCTCGGAGCCGGCGTCCTTGGAGACTTGACGGGAGAGAAGCCCGTCAGCATCCCGGAGGTACGTGTGCACTCGTAGAACGTAGAACGTAGAAACCAGAGCGGAGCGAAGCGAAGCGAAGCGATTGGAATCGAATCGATGATGTCTAGATGGTCCCTGCGACAATGAATTGAATTGAACGGACCACTGAAAGCGAACCAAACCAAACCAAACCAAACCAAACCAAACCAAACTGATGAACCAACCACCCCTTCGTTGTCGACTTGTTGCGCCCGTGATCTTGCCCGTCCCCTTTCCTTTTYGTGTTSTTCTTCTTTCCAAAGGCGAAAATCGGAATGGCCTTCCCCGGTGCCCTCAGCAACGCCGAGCTCATGAAGCGCRTCAGCGAGCGCCTGGCCCCCTACGGCTACGGAAAGGACACCATGGTCGCCACCTCCTTTTGCTGCGACGAGGTCAACCGCCCCCTCGAGCACGCCCTGGCAAAGACCTTTGACGAGCCCTTTGTGATGGGAGGCCTTGCTGGCTTTCCCTTTGGCGGCGTCACCAGCTTTGGGGCCATGGCCCACCACATCCCCGACGGAGGCTCCTGCCTTGTCGTCTACGGACCCCACGTCGGCGTCGATTCCTTCGGGTCGATCGGAACCGTCAACCGCCGGGGCCGCGCCAAGGGCGGATCGTGCTGCGGCAGCGCCGCCGCCGCCCTCGSCAACGTCCGCAAGGGAGCCATGGTTCCCAAGACCGGCGAGGCGGTTGCGCCCGCCACCATCGAMTCCCTCGACGCCCAGCAGTCCTTTRTCAACCAGGCCCTCATGCCCTACGGAGAGAAGCTGCTGATGGCCGCCGACCAGAACGTCGAGCTCCCCTACGCACTCTACGACGCCCAGAAGAAGATGATGGAGGGAATCGTGGCCAAGGGAGCCGGCGCCATGGAGGGCAACGGGTACATCGCGATGGTCGGTGGAATCCAGATCAACACCCCCGACCCCATCACGGACTACTTCTTGCCCCTCTCGTTCGACCTGCGAAACTCGCAGGGAAAGCTCGTCAAGAGCGTCATGTGGGCCTAAGGAAGATCCACCGCGGCTCCGCCGTAGTCGAGTGAAACAAAACGAAACGAAGTTGCACGGCGAGAAACCACTACACTACGAAACATATACACACACACACACACAAACAAACAAACCACAGGACTCTTTTTGATTATTTTGTATTGATCCGATGAACAGCACACCAGGTGGTTCGTGGCAGCCGGGAGTGGCCCTCCTTGGTTGGAATCTGGTTAATGTGCGACCATGCATCAGTGAGTAACACCTTGTTATAACGAGATCAGTTGAAAGAACAGAGTCTTCACATGCAGTAGAATTGTAGCTAGAATCGAYAGTTGGCGCAGCTGGCTGTGCTCCTGCGGAACGGTTCGCTTCCGAAACACCCTCCAACCGCATGGGAGACCGGGGTAGTTGGTCGCCAGCGTCTAAGATAGTTTGCGCGCGTTGTGTCCAATCCTATTCCAGTCCAAAAGGGTCAAATGTATCGTTTCTGAACTAGAAGTAATTATAAAGAAAAAGCGCGCCATGTACCGGTACTGTACACCTACAAAACCCCGTCCTCGTCTTAATCCAGAGCGACCTTGGTGCTCGTATCGATCTTCTTCATCTCGACCTGGGCTCCCTTGTCGCTATCCTGCCCCCGCCTTCGATGAGGCAGGGTGGGGTCCTCGTTCATCGGTCGAAAYATATACCCAACGGCACAGTAGAAGGCAATCGTGGCCGATTCCACCACAAAAACACTCACCCACGTGTGCTTGTAGTTGAGCGTAGCCGAAAASAGGTACACCACGATGCGGGTCGTGTAGATGTAACCGATCACCAACAGGTAAAAGGATCGAAAGAGTTTYAGCTTGGACGCCAGTCGCGCGTCTGGGATTCGTTCGGTTTCGCCGCTGCTTGYTTCCATCGGCACGTCGTCGAGTTCGTCCTCGGGGATGTGGTCGTCGCCGTTGCTGTTCAGGAACGAAGCTTCTTCCGATCCACCGTTTTCGTCGAAATCGTCTTTCCCTTTGTGGTTGTTTTGATCCATGTTCTTTTCCAGTTGATTGACCTGCCACACTATGGGAATCAGAACGGCACAGCAACACAAGATGTCGACCAAGTGCAATATAGCTGTCCATGTATCAAATGAGGTCTCCCCCTCCGTTTCTTGCGTTAGCACGACTATGGCAATGTTGTTGATGACTTGCAAAACCAGGATTCCGAAAATCATTTTCTTTTCTCGGTCGCTGAGAAATGGTTTCACGAAGGACCACCCCGAGCCTATCAATAAAACGACTGCGATCATTATTTTGTGCGTGTTTCGAAAYCAACGAGACCACAACAYCCCACCCAAGGAGGAACAAACAGCACAACCGTGTGAGATCTCGGTGGGGACAATATTCCGGACTCCCCCAAAACGACAAACCGACAAGTCCCACAAAGCAAAGATTGTTGTTGACAGTCGACAACGAAAAGAAGAAGAACCTACCGGTGAAGAGGGTAATACCCTTCAAAAAGTCAAACGYGTAATACACTGCGGAGAAAAACACRGCGTGCCCCGTGACGCGCAAGTAGTGATATCGCAGCGATTCAAAAAGCAGCGAACAAAACTTGAGGGCCAACAGAAAGCCCATCAAGTAATGGATCGGATAGATGGTTGGGGCGTCGGGCGTGCCGGGGATGCCCGATCTCGCCGGGGCCTCCGTTGTTGGCTCTTCGCCCGTGTCGAAGTACCCCTGTTTCCCGTCGTTGATTGCTTTGATGTTTGCGTGCCAAAGGTAGAGGCACAAAGCGTACATAATCGAAAAGAGGAAAAACAACCACGGCAAAATCTTTGTGGACGAGATCACACACACACACACACACACACACACACACACACACACACACACACACACACACACACACACACACACACACACATACACACACACATGCGAGCGCACGCACGGAAAGATAACGACGTGTCATTCGTGAGTTCACAGAATCATAATGGCCTCTCAGCAACAACAACGACACGAACAAGGGGTTCCTGGACGGCTTGCACCGCATGATTTCTGTTCTCACCATTTCCCCGCGCGAGAGATAGGAAATCCGGCCGAACATGTCTCTGTTGGAGAAATCAAAGTCCAGCTCGAACCGGCTGTGGATGTCGTACTGGCTGTTGCCGGCAACGTGCTCCGGGCCGTAGAGGCCCTCCTCGATGTCGTAGCAGACCTGGTACATGAGAAAGTAGAAGCCGGCCTGGCCCGTCTCGAACTCGTAGGCGACCCAGGGACGGCTTGGCTTCCACTGCGAAACGGGCAGCATGTCGAGGAAGATCCCGTCGAGTTGACCCCCAACGAACAGGGCCTCTCCGTATCCCTCCGGTCCCGTATCTTCGGTGGCTCGKTGCCCTCCGTTTCGTGGTGGCTCCTGTAATCGTTGCTGGCCCCGGAAAGCCGACAAGGCCCGTCCGCTCTGGTCGTTTTGACGCCGCAGAGATCGATGCCGACCGAAGAGGTCGTCGTCGATCCCGTAACCATAGCCGTAATCGCGGCTGTTTTTGGTGAGGAAGTCATCGTCGCCGYATCCCCTGTAATTGCCRTCGTCTGTATAGGTGTAATCGTCGAGGTCGCTGTTGCTATCGTAAAAGGCGTCGTCGTTCGAGTCCAAGTACTGCTGAAAGATGCACCGGCCGGGATCGGCTCGGATGTAGTCCATGTAGTGATTGAAGCTTGCCTCGTCCCTGAATTTCTTGAGCAAGAAGCCCGCCCCCTTGACGTTGTCGAGGACGTCTGCCAGGACCAGATCGYTGGCAGCGGAACCTCCGTGMTCCTCTCCGTTCTTGTGCCTGTGCTTTTTCTTGGGCGCCGACAGTTCAAAGTCAAAGACCGTCAGGTTGTAGTGGCCCGAGTCCAGGAACCCAAAGGGGAATCCCAGCGGACCGATCAGGCTGCGATGGTCGCGCCTGGTATAGTAGTTGTGCTTCAGTGCCTCCGCGGTTTCACCGACGGCTCCGAGCCACGCCAAAAAGARGCACGCCAGGACCGCCGCCCGGTGGGGGAAACATCGCAAAGACTCTCTCATGTCAACAGTAAGAGTAGCGCCGGAGAATCGATCTGCGAATCAAAGAGTCAAAGAATCAACGAACCAATTCGTCGATCAGCGAGTGAACTTGAGCTRGTGTCGCTAGTGCTGCAAAATCGTGCCCTGTTTTCTGGTTGCAAGGGTGTTGTAAGCCGTCCACTACACTTTCTATTCCGTTTCAATTGATTCCTCCTTTGTTGTTCGGTCAAGCAATTTCGAAATACTTGTGAAGTACGAGTGCCATGGTGGGTAGAAACTCGTTCTTGACTAACTACCGTACGTACCGTACTATCAGCTCTGTACCGTACCTCGACTTGCCGCTTTGCCATCGCACGGGACTTCGATTTTCAAAAATGACTTCGGTTTCCTCCATCCGCTTCCGAGGTCTGGGGACGAACACTATCATATGTTAATATGTTAAGTACATATAATAAATATGTTGTTAATATTGCGGATGATATGTTGTCCTTGCCCCCCAAAAAGGGTCGACTCACTCGATTACCTCCATGTTATCGAATGAGAACCGAATCAATCCGGTCGGTCACAATCGTGCGGGAATGTGCATTCGTGAATCACTCATCGCATCCCCCAACGTTCTACCGTATTGTACGGTACAGCCCTGTGGTTGGTACATTACTGTAGACTGTAGTAAGTCGAGGTGATGGTCGATCGCTCCTCGTCGCACCAACACCAACCCACCCTCCACAATCCATTCGCACTCCTCACGGAGAAAGAGACGACCGTCCMTACAGCATCGTACCGATTCGGAATGAGCCAGGTTTACTCGACGGAACCCCAGACCAGCGGTTCGGTGGTCTTCGAGACGACCGCCGGACCCCTCTCCATCCACCTGTGGTGCAAGGAGTGCCCGCACACGGTCCGCTACTTTTTGCAGCTCTGCATCGACGGCTTTTACGACAACCTCGTCTTCCACCGGATCGTTCCCGGCTTTCTAGTGCAAACGGGGGACGCCGCCTTTCGGCAGGGCGCGGGMAGCAACGACGACGRCAACGAGGGCGAGAATCCGCGGAAASAGCCGCCGTCCAAAACCTATCGGAGGCAACACGGGGCGGGAACGGCACTGGACCGCCGAAAGTACGAGCTGAACAGTCGCATACGGTTCAACCACCGGGGGCAGATCGCCATGGCACTGGGGATCGACGACGACAACGAWRACGAWRACGAWAACGATAASGACGAGGGATCCCTCGYGGCGGCGCGGCTCCAGCCCCAGTTTTTCATCACCCTCGACGAGGCCTCCCACCTGGACGGGAAGCACGTCTGCTTCGGCGGGATCACCGGGCCCACCGTCTTCAACGCCCTGAGGATCGGTGGGGCCGATGTCTACCACAACGAGGCCGACGAGGCCGATCCGAAGAACTTCCGGCCGCGGATTCTATCGGAGGCGCCGAGGATCCTGCGGACCAGGATCCTGTCGGCCGATCTGCCCCCGACGCTTCCGGCGCTGGCCCCSACCCAGGACCGCTCGATGGTGCCGTGGGCCTTCGATCCGCTCGGGACCGCGTYCGCCCCCCCCAAGCCAAAGCGCAAGAAAAAGAACCGCAAGGGGGTCAAGAACACGAACCTCCTGAGTTTTGGGGAAGAAATGATCGGGGACGACGGCGACGGCGACGGCGATGGCGGCGCGAAGGGCAAGAAGAAAAAGATGCTCAGCAGCCACGATGTTCTGGCGAGCAAATCCCTCTCCTCGGAGCGATCGATYCCGTCCGAACCCTCTCCCAAGGAAAGGGAATCGGCGTCCTCCGGCAACAAGGATCCAGAGGACGCCGCTGCCACCGATCCCCACAAAGACACACCACTGGGCGGGGCAGCGTCAGCGTCAGCGAACCATAGCCAAACCCCGGCACCAACTCCGACGCCAGCAACCGACACCGGCACCGCGGCGACGGATTCCGGGCGCGGCGCCGGCCCRYCCCTGCACCCCACCTTTTCTTCCCGTGCCGACCGAGAGACGGCGGCTTCCGCCGAAAGACATCCGGTTTCCGGTGCAAGCGACCGCGGCGCCAAGCCCGAGAAGAAGAAGGACAAWCCCAAAAAGACAAGCCTGGTAGAAGCACGCCGCGCGAGGTACGCTAGCAAGAACAGCAGGAAGAAGGGAAGCAGCAAGCAGCAGCGGGAAGAAGAGACCATGGCGAGGTTCAAGGCCTTTCAACAGAAAATCACCACCCACCAGAAAGAAAGCGGCATCGGCGACGGGGCGTCCGGTGCCACCGCCGCTACCTACCACGGGCAGATCCTCGAAACCGACGACGCCACCGGTGGCAGCGATTGGATCCGAACCAGGTTCAAGTGCAAGAAACACATGGACCAGGACGCCAGGGGCATGGGGGGCGCCGACGGCAGGGGCATCGACGACTACGTGGTGATCGAGGAGCGCGGCTCGGCGACGGACCGGAAACCGGGGAAGCGAAAGAGGCACCGGCACGGCTAGTCCTTGTCGGCACCGGTTGGTGCGAGAGCAGCAGGAATARTACTATTCTGATAGTGATGCCGTGAATAATTGCTAAACGTAAAAGTTGTTTTTTAAAAACAATATCTATTCAAAAACGTCGTGCCCTTGCGAATACAACCAAATAGGCGAATGAGCCGAAGCTAATGTATACTATACGCTTGTCTTCGAGGTTCTATTAAAAAACAGAAGGATAAAAAATACAGTAGAAGATACGAATGTGATGCCTAAGGGGACGGGGGAGGGGTTGGCCTCAACTCAACGCTTCCTTCGTTTCGGCCGGGGCAGTCCCCCGTCGGGATGGTCCTTGATTCGCTGGACAATATTTTCGATGTCACTCACGAAACTGTCCGTTACAGAGTCCACGTCCTCGTCGCTGACGATTTTCATGAAATCTTCCATCATGTCGTGGTTTCCCAGAATGTCCACGTGTCTGGTGTGGCCACAGAGAAGAGTAGAGAACGAGTAAACGAAGCAGAGCAGAGCGAACAAGTTAGTTACTTATGCGCAAAGAAAAAAACAACCAATCGGGTTCGATTCGATCCAACTCACTCGCCGGAATGCGGACCCTTCCGCAAAGGATCGTCCGCCAGAAACTCGGTGCGGTGGTTGTATTCCCGCGTGATGACTTTGCTCCCGGAGGGATTCATCCCAGAGGTTTTGTCCCGCCAGGGACCCGCGCACATATACCCCAGGCTCAGGAGCGGGACGCTTCCGTCGCCGTCGGTGTATTTGATTCCGTGYACGATCCCGAGGTTCGGRTCCTCAATGCTGGTGTCCATTATAAAGGGTGGGTCGGCAATGGTTTGGGTGYTSTTCTTGCCATTGTCGCTGCTGTTGTCCTGTGCGAACAACCCGTGCTCGCCCGGGTTGCGTTTGTAAAAGTAGGCGCGTTCGGTTTCAACCCCAACGCCGTACAGGCAGTAAATCTTCATCTTTGGGGCATACGGAAGCGGGGTCTGTGTGACATCGTGCCAGGTTCTASCCGACAGCTTCTCGCGGGGACTTTGATGGAACGAATACAACTTGGCCGGKGAGGTACCGGGACCAAAGCCGCCCCCCCAGGTGAGCAAGAAATCAATAATGCTCTGTGTCGTATGACCTATCCCGGAAGCAAGTTGTTGCAGAGCAAGATTCACGGTTGATTCGGACTTCTTGTCTATTAAATCGTTCCTGTTGCAGTGAATGGGATGGTTGGGTGCGTCGTCCTCGGTCTTCTCAGACGACATGACAAACAGATTCTTCTCTATTTCGTGTTGGTACCATGGACATGCACCGTCTGAACCGTCGCAACTTTGCGTCTCGGAGAARTCGGCGCCGATCGACCACAGTGCATCACCTCCTTTTGGAAGCATCTACAAACAAACAAACAAAAACGAGAAATCGGTGAGAAAATGGTGTTGGTATTCGTAAGTCCTCATGAAATGGTGGCAAAACCTACCGCCCACAGACTCCCCCAGGTATGATATAGATCTCTCCTTGCCTTGCGTGGAATAAAACGTTCGAGCACGCTTCCCATGCCCCCCATAAAGACCATGTCGCTTATTTCTCCYGACATCAGGGCACTGGCGGCTTTCGGTACTCCCAGGTGAGCACCAGCAATGCTCACATACGCGTGAATATGTTCGTCGACCCATTTCTTCCCGCCACCACCCCCACCTCGTCGTTTGGGTTCCGTAACCCATGCAAAGAAGTGGTGCACAACAATTGCTCCCATAGAGTGCACCGTGATAATAACTTTCTTACCAGCCGATTTGTGGTAAGCCTCGATTCTATTTTTGAGATGGGTAAAGTAACTATCGCGTTCTTCCAGGATTTGCATTCCCAAACGCCAATCGTAGGCCTCCAAMGTCATCGAATTGGTATCGTAGTCTAAATCCGCAAGATTCTCCAGAATCTTAGACCAAACCCAATAATTGCCCCCTACGAAACAGACAAAGTGCAATGAAAGAAGAAGAAAACGGGGCGCGACGTTAATGTTATCTCGAGAAAACATCCCCAAGAAGTTGTTTCAATATTATTTTCCTTTCCGTTACTTACACATCCAGTCACTGCCCACAAAGAAATCGGCGGCTGAAAAACCCTGGGAGCTTCGCAGCTTGATGCCTTCGGGGTCGCCCCCRGTAAAAGGATCCAGCGCCAGATTCTCCATGATACAGAAACGTTCGCGCAACCAATACTGAGCGGAAGAAAGWCCGCCCCAGACGCGCTCCCGGAAGAGGTTTTGCATGCACGACTTTCCTTTCCAGACCTCCAAACCGCTAGTCACAAACCCCGGGACCATTACCACCGGATACTGGCCTTTTGCACCCACCTTTTGTGCTAGCTGAAAACCTGGGCGCATTTTCTGGTTGGTCGTAGCAGTCATCGCTATTTCTTCTCGATCCAGCGACGTCGAATTCATTCTTCGCCAGAACAGCGTTTCGTTGAAATTGGGAGCCATGTATCTTGCCATTTCCAGMGTATCGAGCATCCTGTTCTCAAAYAATTCCAATCGTTGCTGGAGTTCTGGTATRACRCGCTCTGCCACCGGAGACACACGCTCGGAGACAATATCGTGAAGGTCTCTAGATATTATGCCATTGTGTTTTAGGGTGATCGATACGGTGCTCTGGGCCACCAACACCACTAAGGAAACCAGCGACCATAAGATCCATCTATTTAGTTTTGATTTTAGGGGCTGTACATTGTCTTCCGTAGTGGATTGACTCGAGCCTATCGATTGCTCATCGAGAGATGAATAGATCACCACCTYCGACGCCTYGCCATCAGCAGCTATTCGTGTGAYCATGGACAAAGAAGGAAGACTACGGGCGCGCTTTATCACGTTCGATCCGTATTGTCCTTGAAGAACATTCATTTTACTGGATCGTATAGCTTTTTGAAAGAAGTCTCAACGAAATATTCTAAGGCTACGGTGTCGATTTATTCTATCGTGTAGTTGTCACGACAAAAGCAGAAGGCTGTCACTACGATTCAACATCAATCACATTGACGTTCAGTTCTCTAGTGCTCAATTTYTATGCTTTCTTCGCTTTCACACTACTGTATTTGTACATGRAATTCACAAAACTTCGGAAAAATTGAGGGATACCGGTATGCATAACATAAGAAACTAMGGTACCGTGGAACAGAACGCAGATCATGTTTGTTCACAATTCACAATTCACAATCTTTTCACTCCATCCATGAGTTCTGGTTTCAAAATCTCGGAACAGCACGCAGATTTCAGACATTTTTTAAAAGACGACATCATCCATCACGAATAACTTTCGCTTCACGACTGAAAAGAGAAAAGAKTAGGAGCGTTGAGTTCCCGTTTCCCGTTTTTCAACCAAACGCATACCCCCTTAAATTATGTATTGAATGTATTAATCGTACTAATACGTATGTAGCTGTACTTCATGTTGCTGCGGAAAAAATTTCATGATATATGGTACGTACGTACGTGATTACTGTCATTACTGTAACACAGTATCGTTTGGCATGTCCCAAACTGGAAGAAAAAAATAGTTCTACGGTTGTACTTTTTATTGAATAGCTCTAACTATTGCCCTTAAAAATAAGTAGCGTGTTGTCATCGGAAGATAAAACATCGACAGGATCGCCAGAAATACGACAATTTGACATGTCGATGATGACGTTCTTGTTTTTTAGAACACTTCTTTGTTTTTGATTCTCACTCCAATAATTATATCTCTTGTTTTTCGAGAAAGAACTTTCTGTTCGAACTTGGAACGGTCGTTCGTAATTGATGGGTTTCGGTCGTGTAAAATATTTTCCACTTGTCGCATCGCTCTTCATACCGAAACGAATTACGTATTGGTTACAGCGCATTCTCCTTTCTGTCTTGATTTCTCGCCTATTTCTAATCCACTTAGTGGCAGTAACTCTTCACAGCAGTTCCCGAATAGTTTTCTAACTCAATAGACAATCGAAATAGAACAAAAACGAACGAAATTTCTAATTTCTAATTTGACCATGGGAGAATCAAAATCAAAGAAAACAGTGACCCCGGAAGGGGCAGATCTGAGTGAAGCGATTAGTTTTGTTTTGAAAGACGTGAGTTGAATTGAATGCGGGCAATCGAATTCAACATCAGATGTCAATATTGAGTACCCCGTTGTTCTACAATCTCTCCTAACCCTTTTCTTTGATGACCGTTCAATTTCTTCCGTCGCAAATTGCGGTTTCTTTTCTGCTCTCCGTTCAATGAATTGATTAGTATAACAACGGCCCAGTGGACGCCGCAGCGGTCACCAAGATGCTGAAAGCCGAGCAYCCCACATGGAAACTAACGGATCGCCGCGTCAACAAGTTTCTAAAGCAGCACAACACGAAGAACCCGGCCGAAGCCGACGACGACGAAGCCACCGCGGAGGATGGCGCCGACGATGTTCCGGCAAAAACCTCCCCCAAGAAGTACCTGTCGCCARGAAAGTCCTTAAAGCGGTTCTTTTCTTCCAAGAACAAAAAGAAGGACACAGTCGACGATCTCGACACGGCTTCCGTTCCGTCAGAGCCCGAGAAAGAGCCGTTCGTCGCCGAGGAGATCCCTCCCATCGAGAAGGAAGAAGACCTCGACTCCGCCGAAGAAACAGCAGAGGAAGAAGAGCCATCGCCAGAACCGGTTGTTTCGATTGAGGAAGAGGGAAMAGTCGACAAAGAAATCGCATACGAAGTTGATAACGAGAAGGTAGACAGTAGCTACGATTGCTTTAATCCATGCTCGATAATGTGAGAGGTGTTGATTGTCGAWGGTGCGCTGCAAAACAAAACATTCTTCTCGGTCGACGCTTCTTCAATATGATTTGTCTATCTCTACCTTTCAGTCAGTGACTAGAACARATAAAATCTTTGAGAGGAAGCAAAGGGGCGAAATTGAACGACTTCTGCAGCAATGTTGGATTGAAAATTCTAKTTTAGGGAAATGGGAGGGAAGGAAAAAACAATGATAAATTTGTGTACTGTGCACACCATGGCTCGTGCAACACACCTTTTGTATTTTACTGTACCCTACTGTACGGGCGTGACGCAGAGAAAGCAAAGAATRTATGTAAAAACAATAATACTGTTAATATGTGTGAATACTATTKTGTCACATGCTTACCAGAAAGTGATAGGTGTTTTTCAAACAACCCATCGCATCCAACATCTCAAAATGTCACGTACAAATGAGGTTCATCCATGCCTGAAATCGTAGCTTCTGCAAAAGGAATAACACAAAAGATAGGATCTCCTCATATTGAAAGTTCCAAATGATTTTAATATTCTTGTTGTTGCATCCTCGTCACACTATTGCGCTGATGCCTGTCCCAGCATAGTGAGTATCATTTTCAATCTATTTCTTGAAAGCTTCCATTCCTATTTTTCCACCTGCACTACTGAGCGAAGATAAATCCATAACCATGAAAATGCTCTGATAAACACAACTTCTATCTGCAAAACACTAACAACGCCAACAGATATTATTTTCAACCACCTAAGTACGTACCAGCCGGCATCACAATTAGAACTTGAAACTTCAGAAAGAAGAAATCAGACATCATCTTCCGGTTCTAATCGTAACGGTAACGGTACGTACCGTACACCCCTGCCGTACTCAGGGGTCTAAATTATGACCCCTGCCGTACTCTTGTACAGGTTCTCGTTAGTAAGTACGTACGTAGGTACGTACGTACGTATCGTATCGTATTGGTGAACGATCGAAATGAAGCTACTGAAAGCAGAATTTTTCAATTCCCCCTATTCAAACATTATTCTGTTAGATCCCCCGAATATCAAAAGCACCAAATTACCGACCAGTCCCTACTGCGGTCATAATTAATTCGTGCGACTCGSATTACGGTACAACTGCTGTAGGGCCGCTTACGGCTATGACTCGTACGGACCGTCCGTACTGTTCGTTACTTATTGTACTTCTAGGSTAAAACAAACACGGCACATCATGAGAACCATGTGCAATTTTTTTAGCATTGCCAGCTTTACAGTATCATCATTCATCTCAGTCAACRGTACGATGCATTTCTGATTGCAAGTTTCGAAGGTTGCTCGAGCTGCAAACATCGGTACCAGGAAACGAAGGTTTTAACAGATCAGGCCAGGTGAGATCGGATCGTTGTTTCAAGCGAGTCGTTGGCCTTGTAGATAGGAACAACCAAGGCACGCTTGGTCGTTGGGTCCGTAACAGTTCCATATCGAAACGTACACACACACAAAGGAACAACAACAACAATGGCGAGCTCCAATAGTGGTGGCGGTGCATCCAAACCCTTCGAATGGCTGTCGGGTGGCCTCTTCTTCGGCGGCGGCGGCAACAAGGAAGGCGGGATCGAAAGCATCGACTCGGAGAAAAACATAAAGACCCTGCTCGAAGGGATCCAGGAGAACCTTGGGGCAACGGCGAACTCTGCGCCGGCCGACGACGAGAAATCGGCCCGGGCCCCCTTATCACCGTCTCAGTCGGCTCCCCTGGCAGCACGGCTGGCACGCCTCCGATTTTTGCTCTATGACGAGCGAAGGGTCACCTCCCAGCAATCGGATCAGTCCCACCGGCTGGGAAACCCTTCCGTAGCCCTCGATACCGTCGAAAGCCTGGCAGACAAGTCCGGCGATAACAATCTCGGGGGCTTGATCCCGGATCTAATCAACAATTTGCAGAGCCTGCCGTTCGAAAGCAGAAARCACGTGGCGGCCATTTTCAACTATCTTCTCGTGTGTGGATTCGACGGAATCGATCGAGACGTATATATCCCSGTGATGAAGAGATTTCGGGACTACGTAGCACTGAATTTTGAGGTGATCGTGTCGGCCATCGTGAACGGCCATAAYGTCTCGTCTGGACCCTGTGGTAATGGCACCACGGACGTCGTTCTGCACTGTGGTTCTATGTATCGATCCTGTTTTCGACACGTCCATCTTTATGGCCAGCTAGTTGTCACGACGAGGCGAGTGGAGCAGTTTGTCTTTCCGTTTATAGACAAATACGCACTTCTCCCGAACTTCGACGTTTCTAGTGATGCGATGGAAAGCTTAAAACTAGTAATGACGGCTGGAACGACGAGTGGAAGCGACAGTGGAAGCGATTCGATAATAATGACTCCCATCGATGAGAAATCACAGCAACAAATGGCCGAATTGGCGGCGACCTTTTTGATACGAGACTACGAAGCCGTTTGGATTCGACGATTCAACTCCAAGCTTTTGTCCACCGATGCCAATTACATGACGAAACGGGTGGCTCTACAGATATTGTCCACCGTCTTGCTGACGCGGTCCAACTACACCGTCATGATCAAATACGTGAATTCGAGAACGAATCTGATTCTAGTCATGAAGCTTCTCCGCGACACGAGTCCCCACATAACACTGGATGCCTTTCACGTGTTCAAAGTATTTGTTGCAAACCCCAACAAGATTCCMGAGGTCGAAAAAATACTGAGAGACAACAGCCGGAAACTCTGCGCCTATCTCGAGACACTGCACTACGACAAGGAGGCATCGGATCAGCAATTTGCAGACGAAAAGAGACTCATCATTGCAACGATACGAGATTTATAGCAAGAAGTGTTATAATAATCTTAACTGAGCACCGTTTATCTTGCAAKTCAAAGAAGTATCGCATGCTAGTAGATTCTGTGCTGTAAAGCATTCACAGCAGTAATTGATGACTTGACGGCACGCCTGCTCGAGATAATTCTATACATAATCTATTTCGTACATGCGCAGGTGCTTTCTCAGGCTCAGCCCGTACTTCATCACATTCAAATCATACAAGATGAAAATAGCGGMAAGGATCGCACTTTCCTTCAGCTGGCGGCGCACGATGACTTCAACATCGTCGAATTCCCATTCGGGACATTGGTCTTCCCCTATCGTAGCGTTGCAATTCGTGCACTCGTTGCGGTTCATTATACACGCAATGCCTCCCCGTTCTTCCGGGGTTAGATCCAAGCGGTGCGACCAYAGGATGGAGGTCACAAAGATGGTCAGCAAAACGAAAGCGTTGACAAACAAAACACCTATCAAAATCAGGTTGGCCGTCCTCTTTTTTTGTTTGTCRATATTACTTCGAATAGAAAAGGCAGACAGATACCAACCCATCAAAAGAGCGATCAAAAATAGACCGGCCGCGATTAGGTATAGAAATGCTATCCATCTACACAATCGTGGCGATGAACGAAACGAAATGAAARTTGRAAAATATATTGAGTGGATTTCCTACGCTATGTTGAATGGACACCATCCTCGTTTGCATTTTTTAGCCCAGCACTTACCTCTGTTCGTCCAATTTGTCTAAATACGAATAAGTGGAGAAGAGGTTAATCCCACCGAATATGGCTGTACAGAACACCGGAAACGTCAACCATCCAACAACATTCACTTCTCGCGACTTTTGCACCATAGGTTTCGAAATGATACGTTCAAGGCACTTGACGATTAGAAACATTATGAACAGGTAAATGCATCCCCAYGAAGCTAGCGCTCTGTAAAATATCAAGAGGAAAAACTCGGTTTTGTCTTGTGCCTCGTTTCGTATGTTGGCACATCCAGTGGTATTGTATCGGTCCTCGCACCACTCCTCTTCTTCCTCTTCGTCTCGAATAGGCACCTACAGGTTATCAAAGAAACAAAAGCAAAACTTAGAAGCGATATCATCTCACGTAGAAATAGCCAGCCATCGCAGCACAGAGTGTGTGGTGTAATTTGAAAGGCCGCWAAAATATGAGGGTGAGAAGCGGRAGCCATAGAAACGCACCGTACATAGAGTTTCCGCGGTATCMGGCTCGCAGAATTGCTCTCTGAACCACCACAGTTGTGCGGAGTTCCAATAGTGTTCTACATCCCATCGAACGAAGGAAAGAATAAACAAGTAGTTGTACAGAAAAGAACATCATGTTGAGAAATTACTTTGAAGAGACCTCGAGTCAGCAAAAACCAAAGCCTGTTCGGGACTAATTGGTTCGATTATCAAAAGGATTTCCCCACGTACTTATCCAGGTTTTTGTAACCCCGTGATAGTCGAAGGCAACAATGTTGAGAAAAGTTGCAATCGGTAGGATCCATAGCAAGAGCCACAGGAAACGGAGTGCTCCCACAAGATCGACTTCTTTTATGATTCGTTTGGTCCAAAAGCAAGTGCAAAGCAGAAAAATTGCCAAAACTCCAATGAAGGCAACAATGCAGTTGTTGTTCCACAGATGGAATCCGTGTCGAAAGKCTTGCTCCGGACCATCCACAAAGAGGACTACGCACAGCCACACACAAGCAGCAAGCTGGACCGTGGCAAAGAAGAAAGACATAACGTTGAGACGTGCCAAAATGAACCGATCGGACAAGGTACCGCCGTGCAATTGATTGTTGTGTCGGGAACACCAGAACCAAAAACACGGAAACCATTTCACGATCGCCACTGAGATTCTACGAAAATTGAATAGACCCAATACTCTGTCAGCGAGAACAAAGCGCGTCCCGGTGGTGTTGGATGCGTCGCTATCATCGTCTGGTGCAGCGAAAGAAGGCGGACGATTCCGATTACTCTCTTCGACTTCTAAATTTCTTATATCGGGCATTCCTCCATCGTTGTTGATATCGAGCATGTCATCCGAGTCAGCCAATGAGAGWGATGTTACCGAATTGACGACTGATGGTGACATTATGTCGTTGCTATTGGTCGGTGAATCAGGCCGAATGGTCGATATCAATCTCTTTCCAATATTTGTGTGCGTACATTCCTTAATTTGRCCATCCATCCGTATTTCCATCGAACGTTTCTTGAATTTATTCGGGGAGCAATGGAAGTAATTGGCATTTTCTTTTGCTTTCGCGTGGTCAAGSYCATTCATGTAGCTCGTCACTCCTGATTCTTGGAAGCTGACGGCACGGTCAGATCTTGTTCGTCGAGTGGGCTGAATCGGCGCAGTATCCTTTCCATATTGCTGCGTTTGCTGCTGATTCTGGTTCATAGATGACCGGTAGTCGTATCCTCCGGTTTGAGGCTCCGGCAATGTTTGCTTGTAGGCAAAAACATCGTCATCAYTGCTGTCGTAGTCATTATCATTATCATCAGCRTATTTCTCCATAGACTCGGGAGCAGAGAAGTATTCGTCGAAACTGTTTCTGCCTTTGCTGGAGTCGCCGGGACTACTAGAAAAGGTGCGATTACGAGGGGTAGTTTTATCGGCAAAGTCCAGCCCTTCCAGTTCGGTGTCGTCATCTGCGCCCTCGAGTGGCACTAGGTACTCTGTCGATGACGTAAAACTGTTGTTACCCTTTGGGTCTTCTGTCCCGGAAAACATTATATTCGATCCATTTTCTTCGATTAGTAACATGGCTCGTGACTCCAATAGTTGTATTTGTCGAAAGTAGCCCCCAGCAGTATTTTGGATTTTGAAGAATTATTTATCTTGTTTTTTTGGTTTGATGAGGGGCCTTGCAGTAGTACGTAGTACTCGTACTTCCTGCGAGTAAGGTGCTACAACATATTTTCTCAGTGGTACAAACYACCTGTCCATTTTCAGTTTCGTACCGGCACATAGCGGTATCTCTCAGTCGTAAGGTAAGGTACCTCGTATTGTACCTTTCAGAGAAACAGAAGCAGCCACAAGCGCTCCCCTACCGGTTGCTTACCGAGGAGGTACGTACCGGTGGTGCCGGATTGATTCGAATTTGACATGCTAGCATAGCTACTAGTATCTGTCGGGTACGTAAAACGTCGTACAGAACAATACAYAGTAAGAGTACGTTCAACCCCCATAAAATTTCACGCTCGCTCTATATGGTTATTAATGTATTTTAGTTAATACTGTAATTGAACTAAAACCAAATGGAAGATATCGATTATTGCCCATCCCGAGGATGCCAATTTTTGAAAAAATCGAATTTCATATGATCTCCCATCTTGTATGAACGTACAGTACTGCATTTCTGGTACAASTACTATTACTCGTAGTTCAAATACGGTAGTGTGTAACATGATTGAAACACGAAATCGTTCTRTTTCAAACGTACGTACCTACGGCTACGTACCCGTCTACGGCAGAAAATATTGGCGATCGCCTGAAGTTAGAGTTGAAACCAGAACCCACATAATTGAAACCAAGTCCGAAACCAATCACATTTTTCTTTAAACATGCTGAAAAACCATAAAAGATCTTAMGACCCCAAAACCATTACGCGTACTTTTTATAGAAGAACGAGAAGTAGAAGAATCAACATCATGAAAGATTGCAAAATTATCGCATCGGTATTAACAATAATCTCTGATTGTAMTTCTCTTGGATTGATATTATATAACTTAATCATTGCATCCAGCGACGAAGCGTTACGAAATGATGATATCCACTGCAACGTCGAATGCCAACCAATACAATGGTAGGATCGAGACGCGTATTCAGTCACTAAAGCAACAGCAGCAACGAAAGGAAATGCATTGCATCCTTGTAGGTCCAAATAGTACATGTCTCAAATCCAAGCCCTTTCAAACTAGGGGAATTGGCTTTCATTCGCCTATTGAAATCGGTAGTCGACGTGATTGCATCCAAATTGATGATGACAACGTAAGTTATTGTGTTCCTAAGTGTAAAATATCTCCATCCCTTGAGGGTTTTCAGCAACGTCGATGATTACCAGAGTAGGGTCTTGTTCTGACATGTCCATTCACAATGTCTCTCTTCCTTTGTACTGCAGCTACCCATGATACCATCAATGACACCAGGGAATTGGGACAASTTTAAAGGACATACTGCCCCGCGCCTGGATCGATTCGATAACGATATTGAACTTGTTCTGCAGAACATCACTGGAGTCGACGAGAAAAAGTGCTGCGACGAAGAAAAKCATTTCAACTATTACCCAAGTCAGAACGCCRTTCGGAACAGCGCCGCCTCGGTGGAACCAATTCATTCGCTCGATGGGCCTGTGTCGGACGAAGAAAGAGCCGAAGTCGCTCCGATTGACGACTTTGTTTCCCATTGTAAGAGYAGTGAAATTAAATTGATGGAAGAAGCTTTGTCGACATTGATTCCCTCCAAAGAAAATAGAACTCATCAAAACGATATCGTTGGATACGATCGCAATGACACACATTCAGCAATGCAAAATTACCTAATGAGAAACGATATTGGAGATTTTACTCCATCCTCTCCAGTTCAAAGTCGTCGTACCACCGCCACTGYCATCGACCAATACCCCGCGTTATTTCCCCAAGTAACATTTGACGAAGAAGAAGAACTAGACAGAAGCACTTTTTTCGAAGAACAGGTGAAAGATGAAGAATGCACTGAAAATCAATCGAATACCCTGGTCTCATCATCTCATTCATGCCGGGGGCCATCGAACTGGCTGCTTCAGCAGTTAGTTTCAGATTCCTCGTCGTTTGAATCGCATTCAAGGGATACTGTTGACAGTAGAAATAATCGTGCCAACRTCGTGACGAAACACAAGCATTGGTCAGAGGAAGAAGACGAAATCCTCAAGTTAGCGATGAGGGCAGAAGAAGAACAAAATCCGACAAATTGGATAAATGTTKCTCAAAACTACTTTTCAAACAGCCGTTCTGCGACCCAGTGCAAAAATAGGTGGAAAAACGTAAGTATCTGTTCGTGTGTTGACYGATTTTTTAAGTTGCACATCTTTATTTTGTGAACCAAACAAAGACTCACCCAGTCGATCACCTCAAATCGAACAGCACTTGAAACCCGGTGTAGTTCGCGGGAATTGGAAGAAACACGAGGACGAATACATCATCCATATGCATGCCCAAGGATTCAAATGGCTTGACATAGCGAAAGGGCTACCGGGAAGGACAAGTGAACACGTACGGGAACGATACGTCAACGTCTTGGATGAAAAATTAAAGAAGACAAGYTGGACCGCCGCGGAAGACAAAATTCTGTTCGAAAGTCAGTACCGCTTGGGCAACAAATGGTCCGAAATCCGGAAGCTATTGCCTGGTAGATCGGACAATATGATCAAGAATCGCTACTAYAACAAGAGAAACGCACATCTGCGGCGAATGAAACGCGAAGCATTRGCATCTACTCCTCCAACACCTGTTTAGCGGAAAATGAAACCTAAACAAATTATGCGAAAATGCAAATAAAGCAAACACCATAAYAYATTATTTAAAAATAGAAGTTGACATGATATGTTRTGAATACAATACGAAAGTAGGTCGATCGACAGAKGTATTTCAAGAAGTGACTTCMGCTGGTTTTTGTTCATCCTCGTCATCGAAAGGATTTGAAATGAGAGAAAAMCTCTTTCGTTCGTTGTACAACTCCGCTTGGAAGCTGGTCATCCTTTGATGGGATTAGTGAAAATGTTTGGTAATAGTTCGGCTTATTTTCGTTTTCCAAACGAGCACGACGAGGAAGAATCTTAATGAGAGTGATCAAGGAGCAACCTGTGGTACTTGATCTACATCTACCCAATCGACTGACTTGACCCAATTTTMTTATGGAAGAAACAAACGTGATTTGTTTCCCCCTCGAACTCTATATATAATCATCATCCGCTTTTTTGTGTTTMCCAGTTCTTTGAATTTCTCTCTGTTTATGAATTCCTGAAAGAACAAACGAAGCGAAGAGAAAGCCTATCAAGGAATAAACCCAGCTCTCGATCGCTTCTTCCTCTTCCTCGCTGGTTGAGACGATGCKGCCTGTCGACAAAAGAATCTCTCTCATCCGGACTTCGGGAATCAATTCGCTGGGCCAATAYGTTAGTTGAAGAAAAGAATATAGTGCATCTAGATCGAAATGTCCGTTAGAGTGCCAACATAATGGACAATCTTTCCTAGCTGGCCACTGCACTGCATTCAATTCTTGTTGCGTAGGTGTTCGATGGTCTCGCTCCGCCCTTTCGTTCATCAATCTCGAATTCACACCGTTGTGCAATTCAAACAACCACAGCGATAACTCTTTCCAGTCATCGAGGCCTCCGAGTTCTTCGTTRAGTCGATCGCATCTACTAAACCCACAACTGTCATACTCTTGTAGAAAATTAACCCTACAAACTTGGCAGCCAAAGAAGTGTTCGATGTAGGAGCGGAAAATATTGCCTACCTCCATTGGGCTATAAGAAAAATCTTCAGTTCCTGCTAGATTCCATTCTACTACGCCAACTGGTGAACAGTAAAAATAGAATATAACATGAGAGATAGAACATAAACTCTACCAGACAGTGCCCGGCAAGCAATGCAATACAAATTGTGAACATATCTACGTACGTGTTGTAGTATGGAAAAGCTGCCATAAACCGCATGTATATCCCATTGCTGGATCATCGCGTGAACAAGATCGGCTCCATGTGTYTACGGGTGGCGGATGCCGRTCCAAAATTTGCATGAGATTATCTTCGGAATCTAGCACTGTCTCTAAATTTTTACCAATTTCTGAGATCAGRGTTTTGAGCCGCCAGGTTGGCGGCAGTACTTGATTCAAGAGAATAATCCAATTCTCAAAAGCATTTCTAGCTTCCTCGTTGGGTGGGTCTCTTCCTACGAAAATCCCRTGTTCCATCGCAAAATGGAACGAAAGATAAATATCGTTGTACACATCGCGTTTCGTTCKAGGAAGCCAAAACGGCGAGTCATCCTCTAGCTCTCCTCCATTATTTTCACTCACTTTGTTGCCATAGATCTCTCCATCTTGCCSCAACGTAGCSATAGAGAGAGAGAGATCGTTTCCCGTTTTYTCAGCAATGGCCTGCAGTACGAAAAATGGATGGAGGTCACCATGACTTATTTCTGTCGCTTCCTCTTCAATTCCGTCATTTCCTACAAATAATTTGATCGTAGGATAACCCTTGACATCCAAATCCATACAAAGGCTTCTGTGTGGAACACAAGAAACAGCATAAACATCCAACTGGATGTTACTCTGCTCTGCTAGTGACTTCATTTTCTCCGCAAAAATGTTGTAGTGCGGACGAAGCGCTTGGCAATGGGGACACCAACTATTGTTCGTATCATTTTGCAGAAACWGTCAAGATGAGAATTCTATCAGTTCATGAAATACTGTGTTCACCACAGAATATGAAGTTTGTACTCACTGTGCATAAAATTCGACGATTCGGACGTGTCCCTGCTGTGGCTTGTACAGAAAATCCGGTTCTTCTTTCTCTTCCTTACTCGCTGGTGCCKCGAACTCCGTAACGGTCGATYCTTTGTCAAAGCGATAAAAGTATAGATCTTCTGCTTTCGGTGGGTCTGTTTCTTCGTCCTCAGAACCGGAACCAGAATACGAGCCATCCTCTCTTGAGTCGCCACTTGTCTCGCTAGGGCTCTCTTTTGTCTTACTCAGAGGAATATCCAGTTCCTGCTCRAGTTTTCCATCGGAAGACTCGCACCGATCAAGTTTCACAGAACACAGCAACAAGATAAAGTAAAGAACAGCCAATCCAGAAGGACGGAAAGGATATTGTTTCATTTTATCAGGATATTCTACTCTTCAAGTCACCCACTACGAGTATCWATKGGCAAGAAAGGCATGAATGCTCCGATACTCGTAGTRGTGCGGTAGAGGATATGATCTGAGATCATTKATTTTGATGCGAGTTMCTGCAAAATTAGTTCATKTTGTTCGAAGTACTAAGAAAGTCTTCGCTATGGAATTGGAATGTCACGAAAAATCTGWCGGAAACGAACTCGTACCGRTACAGTCAGGGGTMATAAATTTGGATTAGACCCTTGCATATTACTAGTATTCTATTATTCCATGGTATGGCACCATTAGTATYACAGTATTGTTTGAATTCGAAGTGTTGTGCCTAAATAGTTTACTAGATACTAAGTATAGCCTAGTAGATGAAMGTTGTTTGCTCTTTCGGCCAWAGTTTTGCAAATAACTACGAAGTTCTTGCTTTCTGGGCGACGCCCTGAGAAATAAGAAGACGCGCCGCTAGAAGAGGCTGGCGGATGGCATGGCTTCGTTTTGAGAGTACCATGTACACAATCCAGATGAATAGAATTGCCATGAGCAAAAGTATTCGATTMACAAAGTTGGATTCGTTTTCGAACCTCAGAAGCTTGTCAGTCATTGGGTCTGTTTCTGAGTCGGGCCAGTAAGAGCGTTCGAGGAACCGAAAAACYTCGCCCTTGTTCCAMGTTCCGTCGTTCTCAAAGCAGAGAATACAATCCCGAACATTCGGCCACACTACGGCAATTTCATCACTAGCTTTTGCTGTATTCTTCACACCTTTTGTAAATGTTTTGCTAATTCTCTCCCTTGCGAGACGGACAGAAACATCGTTGTGCAAATCCCATAGCCAAAGGGAAATTGCCTTCCAATCCGCTGGATCTTCTGCATTCCCCGCCTTCAGCCTGCATCTTTGATTATTTTTGCAGTCATCGTAGGTTTTTATGAAATGCTCACGGCAAGGACGGCAAGTAAAGAAYTTGTCAAGGTAATTTCGAATTGTGTCCGCGGCGCTTTTTGGCGAAAACACAACTGTAGTCGGCGCCATCATCCCTGACTCAATCAGGTTCCTCCCCCCACGTTGTTCGGCGACTCCCATAGTRACAACGTGGAGCAGCTTCCAAAGTCCACAAGAGAARCCATCGGTTCCCARCTCTYTATTCCGACAAGATTTGCTAAATCCCCCTAGGGGCCTAGGGTACTKTAACACAAAGTCTCGGAACCTATCACTGCTTTCGGTGACTTCTTCGAAGTTAAATCGAAGGTAATCAATCAATTCATGAATYTTCCATTCGGGAGGGAGCGACACACTCAATAAATTCAACMAATCTTTCATTGCCGATTTGGATGTGATATCTTCGATTCCCATTGTCATCCCACTGTGTAGACTCATTATCAAAGACAGCGTCGTGTCCCAAATTAATTCTTCTTCGTTATTCATCTTCTTCCACCCCAACCAATCGCCTTTCTTGGCCTCTTTCCACCAAGGGAGATTAGCCCTCGTAACATCAGTTTGAAGTGTGTTCTTTCTTCCAACTTTCTGTAAACGGTCCAAGAAACGTTTTTTCCGATCTTCGTATTCTTTCGTGCCAACGGAATTTTGCTTCATTCCTTTTGTCATCTCTCCAAATTTTGCTCTCTCTATTGTTTCTCCTYGTTTATCTTTTGTTTCGTCTCTGCGAATGTACTTGCCTACGCCTTGTCGCTGTTTCATATACTTCTCCACAGCGGTCTTCTGCAACTCGGAGAACTTCGTTCCCTTGGAGTATACTTCTTCTTCTTCTTCTTCGTCACTATTGTCATCGTCGCCGTCCTCTTCATCTTCGTCCGAACTGATGCCGTCGCCATCCTTTTTCTCTTCGTCTGATCCCGATGTGTCACCATCACCATCATCGTCACCATCACCATCATCATCACCATCATCGACTTTCGCACCCYGTATTTTCCCACTAAACTGTGATGGATTTTCTGTTGCATCTCCCCCTGACTGATTCGTTTAAAGAACCCCCCCCCCCCCATCCAAAAAAAGAACAATTCGAGTCGACGTTAGCGACGAAATCAATCTTTCGCACCATTCGGCCGCCSTAAATAATGACGGCCCCGATCCGATTTCTCGTCTATTGCAGTRACCCACCTTTGAATCCATTCCGACATCGTACTCCACTCCGAGAAACTCGGCAATTTTCTTCGGGGTTTTCAAGTKCACGGCCTCGTCTTCGTCCATATCCAACAATCTGCCCTTGCTGGAAGGACCGTCGTCCTCTCGAAACAATCGAATGGTCGGAWAGTCGTTTACATTGTAGCTGTCGCAAACGTCGGGATAATGATCACAGGATACTGCAAAAAAATCAATCTTGGGATACGTATTCTTCGTATTGTGTGCCAGCTGCACGTAATTTTGGCTAAACGAAACGCATACAGGCTAATGATAGGTCAAGGGGGCGAAAGAATTTGGGGCCTTGTTAGGATGGTCATTGATCTACTAACAGGACAATTCCGTATCCYCGATGGATCCCATTCTTTTTGATAAAACAATACTCACGCAGTGTGGACTGTAGAACTCTACAACTCTCGGYCTCTTGACGGACGGAAAAAGAAGCCGAGGATCATGCCGCTCGGGGATGAACTCCTTTACGACACTAGTTTTTCCATCGTACAAGTAAACAAGAGGATCTTGTGCACTGGCAACTCCAGCAAAAAAGCACGCGGAGGCAACAGCCAGGAGCAKAGTTCGGAGGTTGGTCATTCTAAAAGCATCACAATGTTACGGGCTTTGGTCTGTTTGACGAGTGGTTGCGATCACGGTCTATCGCTTCCAGTTCGGTGACCTGAGGCACTGGGTTCTTATCAAACTGTGACCCACGGGAAGCACGTTACGGTACCAGTTAACCGGAAAAAGCCTACCGCGCATTACTTGGAAAAAAGTGATTTTGCTCAAACTTAATTACACCAAAAATAATTATTAGGAGCATTGCAGTGAATTTTGGTTAATTTTGAAGCCCTGTATTTAGAACTGATCCTACATAGATCTAATAGTAGTAGTAATTCGGTCACTCTTTCAACCCCAAACAGTTCAATMAGCTAACCACAACAGCTCAAGAACCGGCTCAAATGAGACCCCCTTTGGGGATATGCTCTGTCATACTACTAGTAGTGTTAAGAAGGGTGCTGTGTGTCGTTGTTGCTGTTACTACATGATTAGTAGTAGTATAGGCCTGGGGGGAGGCAGTTCTCCATTAACAGCCAGTATGGCCAAAATTGGCCAGTGGAGACCGGCTGCTGGTTAGATAATAGGCCAGTGCTACATCAAAAAACATTTATAGAGCACCAGACTAAGAGCCCAGACCAACAAGTTGATACTAGTGCACTAGTAGCTAGTACAATCATTTCTTAGAGATCCAGGTCATTGGGAAGCCAAATGATGCTCTAGTGGCTTGGAAATAGTCAGCCGAAGTTACAGGAGGTAGTGAGGGGTCAAAAAATYGTTAATTCTAGGTGTAATTTTATATCAAATTATCTGGTACAGTACTACTCTAGTGAAATGCAAGGAAATGAGTTTACAATTGACTAAAAACAAAACAACCATGCAAGGAAATGAGTTTTTGTGATTTGTAAAATGAAGAAATGGGTGAAAGGACCAAGAACCCTGCAGGAGCCTACTATTGTCAAAAAGTCAAAAACTCRTATTCCATTTGTGGTAGATACATAACAACAGGGGGGGTCATAAGGTTGATTTCTGGAGGTCAAGAAAGCATTACTACTAGAGTGGAAGAAGCAACAGCCCATTGTTGCTGTAATGACTTGGAGACATTCTTGTAGCTCCTCAACAAACCAAAAAGTCAAGAAGACTTCAAAAAGGGAATTCAAACAGAGCTGATGATGTTATCATTTGTAATAGACATTGCTTGACAAAACCAGAATGGTCGTTATTGTGAAAATGAATTTTGAGTTGTTYAAAACAAACATTTGGTTGGATTTTTTAAAAATTAAAAACCAGTTAGGAATGAATTTTTTAGGGATTGAAAGGTGAAGAAGCAAGAACATTGGGTCCTGTTACATCATATTATTGATACAGGTGTGGGTTTGGATGACTCCTCCTTACTGGTGGCAGGTGCTGGTTTGACTGTGATTCAAGTGAAGTATTATGATGCGGTATTGGTCTAGCATACTACTAGTAGTAGGTAGTAATCATTGTGCATAGTAGTACTATGAAGGGTACATACAAATAAACAAGGGGATTTTCCCTCTGTGCCATGAAATTGCAAACTGATTTTTGTTATTTTGGATCAAGCCAATGATAATTTATATACAGTGTGATGAGTACTATGCATACTAGTAATAAGATATCAAATTTTGGCCGCCCCAGAAAAATTGTGCATGTTGGAAGTGACATTGTTTGTTAGGCTATCAAACACAAAAGCCAGGCAGGTGCCAGTATTTTTGTGGTGCTGGGAATGACAACAAGAAGGACACAACAATAAAATAGTTCTACTGCTCAGCACAGTAGAGAGTAGTACTAGGAATGTCACACTACTAGAGTACTACGAGTAGCTAGAGGAGTGTGTTTCTGTGCCATATTCTTTCCATCAATCTCAGACCAAATGTATGRTAGGCTTGAAACAAGTATAGAATTAATAACTAAATAAACTTTAGGTATACATCCAAGAGATGCTTCTTAGGGTACTATGCTTTTTTTATGCAACCATAATTTGCATGTGTTTTTAACACATGCTGCAAAAAACTACCCTGTTATTCTTTTGCTATGG